AATATTAAAATATTAATATACTATATAATATAATGTTTGATTTTTAACATAATAATATTATATAAATAATTTTGTTGTTTTGATACAGAAAAAATTGCTTAATATCAATATATATCAAATTAACTTTTAATTATTTATTACTTTTATTATTTTATCTTATTTTTTTAAACTTTTTTTATATTTGATTTTTTATATTATTATAATATACATTAAACTACCATATATTCCCAAAAATAAGCTACTTTTTTTGAACAATTTTAAGGCCAAAAATTGAGCATAGCTTATTTTCGGGTTATACAGATTTTTAAAGATTTATTCCCAATAGAGAGGTAGATTATTATCAGGTATTATTTTTGAAAAAAAAATTCTTACGCATATAAACTTGCATATTGAGATTCAAACTGGTTTTGTATACATATATCTGATATGTGCATTATTTATTACATATTTATTAATAAAAAAAAATACAACAGTCTTTATTCATATAATGATCCCATAACCCAAATACATATCCAACTCACGATGATATCAACAGGACCAAAAAAAACTATATACCTATAGCATCGTATTTAAGTCAGCATCAACAAAGCAACACCAACAGCCTAAACCCCAATGATGACTCCAACATGACTCTAATGATGACTTCAATGATGGTGCTTCAACAACTAAAAAAAAGCGTTAAGAAATATAAAACCATAATATCAAAAAAAAAAATACTATTGAAAAAAAAAACAAATTCCGAACCTGGTGACAGAATAATACAAAAAACACCTCTAAACTGTGAAAGAACAAAACCACCAATGAAAGAATCCAAGACCTATGAAAGAATCCAAACCTCACAAAAAAAAGAAAAGAAAATTAAAAATATCAAAAAAAAACCTTATCAGAGTCATTTTGTTGACGATTTGTTCAGTTAAAATTTCTGTTATGACTCTAACAACGGTACAAGCGACTACTCCAATAACTAAAAAAAAGTTAGAAAAATATAAAAAATGTAACATTAAAAAAAAAAATACAATTAAAAAAAAGAGAAAAAAAAAATCCCAAAGCTGGCAACAGAACAATGCAAAAAATATCTTGCAAAAAAAAAAAAAAGCAAATTAATAAATATCAAAAAAAAAGAAAAAAAAAAGCCTTACCAGAGTCATTTTGTTAGCAATTTTTTCAGTTGAAGTTTCTCTTCAAGACTGTCTTAAATATACAATTGATCTAACACCATGCCCCAAAAATCTATGACTCTAAGCAAGCCAAGTTAATACAAGAATAACAGGAGAGAAAAAAAATCAATACTGTACAAAAACAACAAGAGAGAAAAAAAATCCAAAAAACTACTTACAAAACCCCAAGATACTACAATATCAATAATAAAACCAGATCCGAAAAGCAACAAGCTAAAAAAAAATTAGTAAATAAAAAGCGAAACAAAAAGAAGCAAAAGCGAAGTGAAACAACAAAAACAAAAAAAAATTTGTATTAATAATTTATTAAATATTCATTCTAAAAAATTTATATATCGAAATTTATATTCTAGTAATATTTACTAAAAGAACTATATAAAGCTTATATTGATATAGGTTCATTAATATTATCTAATAAAAAGCAGAATAGTCATATTTATAGTGTTTTACCATATTTAGTACCTGAGGTCTTAAAAGAAGAACAGCTCAAGCTACTGACATTTATAGTTTTGGAAGATTATTATAATATACAAAAAAAATTTATACGTATAGAGGTCACCAATTTATTATTTTAAATTTATTTTATTATTTATTTTTTTTTTGATTTTTTTTTTAGTTTAATTTATTATAATTTAAATTGGCATACAATTTATTTTTTTACTTTATTAATTTATTTGATTTTTTAATTTTAGTATATTCACTAAGGAAATCAAGTTAGTATAGAAAGAAGATACTAGTATACAATAGTAAATACATATGCACACAATATCATAACAGTGAAAAAAATGAGTTTCCAAGTAATACTTGTTATTTTTTCACTAGAAAAATAATAAGCATTACTGAAAGCTTGTTTATTCACTAATAAAGATTGTATGATTGTATGTTGTATGGAGGTAGCTTATTTTCAGAATAAAAAAAATTACTATTGTTTTCAGTTTGAAAATATAAGATAGCTTATTTTCAGGTATTAGAGGTTTTTAGATTTTTTGCTCAAAACTAAGAAGGTAGCTTATTTTTGAAGTAGCTTATTTTTGGGAATATACAGTAATCTCTACTATATCGCACCATATTTTTATCTTTTTTTCACTCTCTATTTTATATTTAAATCTGAGAAACAGAATTCTGTTTAGGTTCTAATATCTTGGTACTCTATCTCTTATCATCTTTATTTTCTATTTATTTCTATCTTTTTATTTTTATTTCTACTTATCATTATTTATTTTATCTTTTTTAT